GACGCTACCTCATTCATCGCGATCATCGCCATGTCTGTCTCTTATACACATCTAGATGTGTATAAGAGACAGTCCTATAGTCCTTTTTAAATTCCTTTGATACCCATCGATCAAATAGTTTTGAGGAAACCTCTTATTATTATTATTATTATTAATGGGTAGGCTTGGTAAAAAACGGATATCGGTCTCCTATGAAATGGATTTGTCCCCCACCCAACCGAGGTACCCGCACCCCCCTATCTTGGGGCCAATACACAAAAAAAAACCGTATATGCCTCTCGTAGAATTCGAAAAAATGGGCAGGGCAGCGACAACGCTTTTCCGTGCGGAAAACAAAGGAGTCGCCTCTTGATTTCATCAAGCCAACGTTCTATTAACTCACCGCTGATGACGACTTCAATCCTCTGAAGCGGTTCATTACTGGCGGAGGGATTGCGCGCCAGGAGCGTGTCTGCTGCGCGTGCGCGCTATCTCTCTCCCCCCGCGGCGGTTCGCCTAACATCTACTCGCTTCTCTCTCTCTCTCTTTCTCTCTCTCTCTCTCTCTCTTTCTCTCTCTCTCTCTCTCTCTCGCTCTCTCTCTCTTTCTCTCTTTTTCGATTGTCCGATCAGAGATTCGAAGGCTACGCCGGTGCACGCCACCCCATCGCTGATGTCCCCAGTTTATTGAAAGTCTGTCTTTCCCTCTCTCTCTCCCTGCCTCTCCCTCCTAAACCATCTCCCTCCACCATATCTCTCCGAGCTTGGATCCACTCCGGAGTGATTGACATTTGCTTTGCATCTGCGATGAGTGCTTCCTGGTCATCGGTTACAGGAGTGGTTGTGGTAATGATATCATCGTACCCTCCAACCCTCCCCCCTCACCCTTCCCTCCATCCTCACCTCCCCATCACTCTTACTCTTCCTCTTTCCGTTCTCAGATACTTTTCCATCTCCCTCCAATGAATAACTCCTTCCCTTTCGGAGCGATAACTAAGGGTAGATCTCCCCCCTGATGAGCCAATCCGGTGGATATTGGCGAAAAAGCTTTTGGGAATTTCCACCAATACCTTTGCACGTTTCGTCGGCACATAGGGGGCCGCTTGGCCGAAATGGGAATGTCTAAAGATCTTTCATACCCATTATCTTCTTTTGATCATTATGGATGCTACCTAACCTTGTATGCTTCCTTGTTTGTGTATTATCTGTGTTTGAATGATGAGTGTGCATATGATTTGGTTTCCTACTCTGGATTGGAGTGAGTGCTTCGGATCTGCGGAGATTTTTGGATATGGACACTACCTCATTCATCGCGATCATCGCCATGTTTCTCGCCACTTTGGCCTTCTTCATGTTCCTGGATTCCGCTCATAATCGCTCATGCTGCACATGTGTAGTATGCACATGGAACTACATGTTGTCGACTAAGCAGAGGTGCTTTGTATAGTTGTTCGAAGATGGATGCATTCATTGCTATCTCTTTCTTCAATTTGGTTCTTTGTATGCTGGGTAGTGCTTTTTGTGCCGCAATTTCCACGATTACCATGCTTTATCAGTCTGGGTGGCTCGAGCTTGTGCATGGCCAAGGCCAGTGTGCGACTAATGTTTTTTCGCAACAGGTGAAGTTAATAGTCCCTCAGATTCTCGTCATGGGGATCTTTGCCTATGTTTGGAGAGTTGTTAATAAGCGCCATCATTTACATGCATGAAATGGGCAATTGAGTGTTGCCGGTGGTGGAGGTACGAAGGGGATATGCGTACGATGGAATTGTAGTTCGACAGTCTGTCGCTGGGTTTGAAGCTTCGGGGCTGAAGTGGAGTAGGGCTACGAAGGAGTACTGCATCGCTGAGCAAAAAATATTTTTTGAATCATGACGAGACGCCTTGAATACCACTTTGATCATGGGCGGTACAACGATGCGTCTGAACATTTTGGTCGAACATCGATCGGGCGCCCGTGCAGATCGGGACACTATCGCTTCCTCCTGTTAAGGGGATGGGGTCCTTGTGTATACCCAGGTTTTATAGGAAGTGGGTTGGAAGTGGGTAGGCGGTTGCGATCGGAGTTGCAACCGTGGTAGGAGTTGGATAATCGATGATTGGTATTCGTGTAAGGTGTACGTTTGAAGTAGGGCTTGCTAGTCCCGTGGTTTGTCGGCACGGCAGCTGACTAATGCTTGCTTTCCTATGCACATGTTTGAAATGGAGCGGGCTGATACTGTTGCATATGAGCTACAATAACGTAATGGGTTTTTTACGTGTAAATGTATACCTGAATGGGTGAATGAGTGAGTCGTTATTCTGTCCTGTTCAAGCCATTTGCATAGGATAGGGCGGTGATTCTGTTTTTGTTTTTCGGATTGAACCAATCTTCTTTGATCTTGTTCAATTGGCAACGCCCTCTCCTTTTTTTTCGAATTATTTTTATTTTTTTTTTTGTCCGCCTGTGGGGTTTTCGTTTTTCATAAGGAACTCAGCTCGTATCTGATTTTCACTTGTGTGTGTAATGCGAAATCCCTCTTCCTTTCCTTTCACTACTTGCGTCTCAAAGTTTAATCTGTAATACATCTTGTTTTGATCCTGTACTTGTCCTTTGATGGATCATCAAAAGGCATCTATTTCTTTCGTCCTTTTAGGCTAGGCCTCCTGGGAATGCAGGAATTCTAAGCGATATTTTTGAATGAATTGGGTTTGTTAATTGACACTAAGTAACTTTCTTTCGTGGATACAAATCTTTCCCGCTCGATGTTTTGTTCCCTGCTCTTTCTGCATATCGGTATCACATGTGGATGATCCATGACTCGACGCGACATGTCGCGGTGGCCATTTACTATATAACCACACACACATACGGGGGACCCTGTTCCCACCCTGTTGCCATCAAGAGGGTTGAATCCAACTTGTTGAGTCATGTAATCTCTTTGTGATCCCAGTATGCCGAGTTGAGGGGACTTTACTGGAAAGCAGCATAGCAGTTATGTATTCATATAAGAAATAATTTTTTGTGGTTGTGGCAACCAGCCTTTTCACGAAATGGGTGGTGTGAACTTGTCAGGGGAATTCGCTCATCGTTAGATCGTTTTTCGGCCCCATCCCGACCCACCCAAGCGTTGATTGCACTGGCAAACCCCATAATTATGGAATTTGTCAGGGTCAATTCACTCCGTGCCCTCCGTCCCAACCCTTCGCTAATCACTTCTCTTGCTTTCAATGACTGGGCCGACATCCTTTGGGTAGCGTCGCACGACAAGGCTATGTTCTCAGTTCTCTAAGGATTTAGTCATCAATGCAAAGGATGAGCTGGAAAACGATAAGCTGGTCCAAGCTTTGATTAGGGATGAGATAGCAATGAAGGAAAGGGTGTTCATTGATCTCTGGGGTGCAAAGTCTCCGTTTCATACTGGACATGTCCAGGTCCCGAATGTCGAGATGCGTGAGTCGGAGTCGGAGGACGAGGAGGGTATGCCCCTCACCGAGGAGGAAAAACTGTATTTCCAGCAGATGATATCGGAGTCTAAGGCTGAGCTTGGAATAAATCTTGCAAAGGAGAAGGGCAAAGGGGTTAATAAGTTTTATCGTAATGTGTTCCTCCCCATCGCTCCGTCTAGATGGATTGAGGGTGAGGCGATGAGATGCAATGATAAGATATTGGATCTTGACACCTTTGACCACAGTGCCCGATTAGTATCAATGCCTACAGACTCCTCGCCTCGCTCACAGAAGCAGAAATGGACTTGTGTGAGGAGAAGGCTCTTGGAGCCAACACGGACCTAGTGAAGGGGTCATATCCTTTGACGGACGACGCCATGAAGCTCCCTGTGGTTGGACATTTTGATCCACTGAAATGCACGGCGACTTCTTCACACCTGTCCATTAAAAGCTTTTGTGCTCCTAATGGGTCTTAGCCCCTCCCGGAGTTAAAAAGAATTTGGAACGTGGGTCGTCCCTTCCTTTAGTGTAGATGCTTTGAGAAGGGGTTGCCCGATTGCAAAACCTCCATCACGTGGTTTGACCATGCACTCTGGTATATCCTCGCAAATCCTTATTACCTCTTCCCTGCAGCTCTCACGCTCCTCGTGAGAATGAAGGTCTTGAGAAATTTTCTCAGGACTACCTGGAGGGCTCCGATCTTGGCCTCTGTTGTGTTCTCTGAAATGAGACACATCATGCAAAAGATGGCGCATAGCGTTATCGAGAACCCGGCTAGAAGACAGGACACCATCATTCATGACCCGGTTCTCATGGCCTAGAAATTTCCCACAAGAATGGCCTGCCTCATCCTCCCGGATAAGTACTTGAGGAGTCATAGTAAGAGGGCTAGAAACCAGAGTAGGGCTAATGAGGATGCCCACCCCCCCAAGAGACGGAACAACACCATCCTCTCGTACTACGTAAGATCAGCAGAGGAGCTTGCCCTGTCGACGGCCAACAGGATGATGAAGCTCCGAATGAAGCCCTCATTGCATCTCCGAAGTCTCTTTATGGTCCGATGGCGATGGATGAAACTCCCCCTTCCTCAACTGTGATGGTTGCGACCAGCAGCTGTAAATCGAAGGGGAGGAGGCACCTCAGGAGGAGCCCTAGATCGAAAGCAAAAGCCTCGTTATTCGCCGCTTAAAACTGTGATGGTTGCTAACCACTTGAGATGTATGCGCGTCTTTTTCTGTATTTATGTTTTCAGTTAAATGAAGGATGCATAACAACTGATGAAGCGGGTCGGAAAAGATGGGTGGGTCCTGAGTCACCAAAGGCTGATCTGTACAACCATGTCAAACATTCCAGCAGGGCCATGAAATCTGTGAATTTCAGTTCGATTGCGGAGAAAGCATTTGAGGTCTTCTTTCCGCCAGCGGCTATTATCCTGCTTTCGACAATTGTTATTGGATGGACTTACGATCAATCATTGGAATCAATTGTGTACAGACCTTCTCTGGTGTTTAGAGATTTCATTCTTGAAGAATGGTTGAATACATGTGCCGAGTCTGTGCTTTGCCCTTGTGCTACGGAAAGTTTTGTAAGGTTCCACCTCCCGCAGACGTTGGATATGTCCCAGCCCTGCACGAATCCCTCTACGCATGTGTTAACTCCGGATCCAAACCTCGTCCAGAACACATCACTTAGAAACTTGTTAAAAAGCGGACTGAATCACATTCCTTTGCAGCCTCGCAATTCGTCTATTGCCTTTCATAATTTTTTGAATGCCTGGCAGGTTATCATTGAGTTCGTAAAGAGGAGGACGTTTGTTCCCCTAGCAGAATTAAAGCGGGCGTCACCGTTGTTTCTAACCAGGTTAGATGGCAGTTGCCGAATCTAGGTGTCCGGAACCATTCCGACCCCCCATGCCCGCCAAATATGCACGCTGTAAAGCAGGAAGTGAATTTTTTGTTGAGAAGATTTTACATTGCTGGAACGAAAAACAATTAGCAACACTTATCAGAAGGATGACTTTGGAGAGACTCAATGGCCCGGATTTCAAAAAGGTTGAATGTACCTCGCTAGAGATTTATGGTGAGGCTTCCACCTCGCTCACCGCCATCTCCCTGGGTCTCGCCATTGACCCCACCAAAATGCCCTACCTAACGGCACTATATAAACAACACAAAACTTCGTTCAGATGGCTTACTAATTCCGCTGCGACCTTTCTGACGCCCGTCGCTTTAGTCTGCGATGCGGCAATCAAATGCCTCTTCCCCTTGGTCAAAGCTAGATGCAAGGAGATCACTGACAATCTCCGGGTTTTTCATGGCGTGGACACTTCTATATGGTGGGCCATTGACTCTGTCCAAGATTACTGCCACAATGTTCCACAAAAGGTCTACTCGGTATTTTCGGCAGATATATCTCGCTGCTTTGAGGCAATCCCAATTGGCTCGGAAGAGGATGGGCTCCTTGCAGCTAACACTTTTTTCCTGGACCTTGTGTGGAAATATGCTGAGAGGAAGAATCCAGGTAAGGTCCTGAGATGCAGGGTCAGGACAAATGGTGAGGTGGTATGTGCAATGAGTAGTGGCTGCGGACAGAGCTCGTCCTCCTTTTTTTTTTTTAAGGAGGAGGATATCACTAAACTAATTTCTTGGATGCATAGAGGAGATACACATCGATGGGAGGGCGAATCAAGAAACAGATACAAGGCATACCCATGGGCCTCCCTTGCTCCCCCTCTCTGTGCATCATCTATTTCTTTAAGTATGAATTCTCACTTAGTGTGCGTATTGTTCACAATAGAGCCTATGATCTCATCCCGCTCTTCAAATATACATACAGGTATATCGATGATTTGCACTCCCTCAATAACCCCTCCATCTTGAAGTTTCTAGACCCTGCTCAGCCACGGGATGCTAGCAATGTCTTTCACCTGTATCCGCTGCATTTAATTGAGATAAAAAATAAAACGGATGTGTTTACTGAGGATAATGATGGGAATATCTATGGCCTAAAAACTCAATTTTCCAATTCCGAAATCACGGTACTCTCGGAGCAAACGGGTGAATTTGTTACTGCTAAATTCGACAAAAGACGAGTGTTCCAATTTCCAATCGTCAAATACGTGAAGTTTGCTTCCAACAGGCACACGCAGCAGTCTCTGAATATAATAATATCACAGGTAGCCTTGATTATGGTACTTTGTTCAGAACAGGAGACTGCGGCAAGAGAGATTTTTGAGGTTGTCTCTACCATGGTAAAAAATGGCTTCTGTCTGAGAAAGTGCATTCCATGCATACTAAAAGTCCTTAACTCTCTCTTCCAGTATATCCATCCCAGGGTGGACGTCAAGGCTACGCTCTTAGTGAATGCATGTCTGTGATTGTGTGCTTGAGTGTTTTATCTAATTCATTTTCGGCCTCGACCTGTCAGGGCCGTAAGTGGGAGCTGGCAGGTACCGAGCCATGAGGCAGGTACTTTTCATCTGCTCCTTTGGCTTCCTACCAGCGGGATAGGGGAGGGTCACACACACACACACACAAATACTTGGAGCATATATATATATATATATATTTATGAAAAACAAAAGAGAAGGGAAAAAAAAAAAAAAAAATAGAAATAGAAAATTAAATAAGAAGAAAATATCAAAAAAGAGAATAAGTAGAAAAAAAAAAAAAAAAAAAAAAARAATAGAGCAATCTTTTTTGAAATGACCATGGATGGGAAAAAGGACTATAGTCCTTTTTAAATTCCTTTGATACCCGTGGATCAAATAATTTTAAGGAACCCTCTTATTATTATTATTATTCTTAATGGGTAGCCTCGGTAAAAAATGGATATTGGTCTCCTATGAAATGGATTTGTCCCTCGGGGTAAGCGAGGTACCCGCACCCCTCTATCTTGGGGCAAACGCACAAAAAACGAACGTATATGCCTCTCGTAGGATTCAAAAAAATGGGCAGGGCAGAGACAACGGTTTTTCGTGCCGAACACGGAGGAGTCGCCTCTTGATTTCATCAAGCCAACGTTCTATTTAATCACCGCTGATGACGGCTTCAATCCTCTGAAGCGGTTATTTACTGGCGGAGGGATTGCGCGCCAGGAGCGTGTCCGCTGTGTATGCGTATTATCTCTCTCCCCCCGCGGTGGTTCACCTAACATCTACTTGCTTCTCTCTTTCTCTCTCTCTCTCTCTCTCTCTCTGTCTCTCTCTCTCTCTTTTTCGATTGTCCGGTTGCAGACTCGGAGATTACGCCGGTGCACGCCACCCCATTGCTGATGTACCCTGTCTATTGAAAGTCTGTCTTTCCCTCTCTCTCTACCTTCCTCTCCCTCCTAAGCCATCTCCCTCGACCATATCTCTCCGAGCTTTGATCCACTTCCGAGTGATTGATATCTGCTTTGATTTTGCGATGAGTGCTTCCTCGTCATCGGTTACAGGAGTGGCTGCGGTAATGATATCATCGTACCCTCCAACCCTTTCCCCTCCCCCTTCCATCCATCCTCACCTCCCCAATGTCCCCATCACTCTTACTCTTCCTCTTTTCGTTCTCAAATACTTTTCTATCTCCCCCCAACGTACAACTCCTTCCCTTTCGGAGCGATAACTAAGGGTAGATCTCCACCCTGATGAGCCAATCCGGTGGATATTTGCGAAAAAGCTTTTGGGAATTTCCACCAATACCCTTGCACATTTGGTCGGCACATAGGGGGCCGCTTGGCCGAAATGGGAATGTCTAAAGATCTTTCATACCATTTATCTTCTTTTGATCATTATGGATGCTACCTAACCTTGTATGCTTCCCCGTTTGTGTATTATTTGTGTTTGAATGATGAGTGTGCATAGGATTTGGTTTCCTACTCTGGATTGAAGTGAGTGCTTCGGATCTGCGGAGATTTTTGGATATGGACGCTACCTCATTCATCGCGATCATCGCCATGTTTCTCGCCACTTTGGCCTTCTTCATGTTCCTGGATTCCGCTCATAATCGCTCATGCTGCACATGTGTAGTATGCACTTGGAACTACACGCTGTTGACTAAGCAGATTCGGAGGTGTTCCTGTCTCTTATACACGAGATTTTTGGATATGGACACTACCTCATTCATCGCGATCATCGCCATGTTTCTCGCCACTTTGGCCTTCTTCATGTTCCTGGATTCCGCTCATAATCGCTCATGCTGCACATGTGTAGTATGCACTTGGAACTACACGCTGTTGACTAAGCAGAGGTGCTTTGTATAGTTTTTCGAAGATGGCTGCATTCATTGCTATCTCTTTCTTCAATTTGGTTCTTTGTATGCTGGGTAGCGCTTTTTGTGCCGCAATTTCCACGATTACCATGCTTTATCAGTCTGGGTGGCTCGAGCTTGTGCATGGCCAAGGCCAGTGTGTGGCTAATGTTTTGTCGCAGCTGTTGAAGTTAATAGTCCCTCTGATTCTCGTCATGGGGATCCTTACCTATGTTTGGAGAGTTGTTAATAAGCGTCGTCATTTACATGCATGGAATGGGCAATTGAGTGTTGCCGGTGGTGGAGGTACGGAGGGGATATGTGTACGATGGAATTGTAGTTCGACGGTCTGTCACTGGGTTTGAAGATTCAGGGCTGAAGTGGAGTAGGGCTACGAAGGAGTACTGCGTCGCTGAGCAAAATTTTTTTTTTGAATCATGACGAGAC